AAAAAGTCTAGACAGATAAAAACTGTTTTGCGCAAAAAAGCCCTGATGGCAAAAATGACGATCGGGGATTTCTTGCGCAAAACTGCGTCTAGATTGGCATAGGCGCTTTTCCGCAAAAAGTGCTTTTGCGCAAAAGCGTCCGTGCCAATCTAGACACTCTTTTCCGCAAATGCTTTTAATGGAAAAACTTTTCCGTTAAAAGCATTTGCGGAAAATCATGCCAGTCTAGACGTAGCCTTAGAGACTAACATATTTATTTGGGCATAAGTGTTTGTGGACAAAACTCACTTTGTTCGATGCATCAGGCTTCGCCATGGAAGTTTATGCCCAAATAAAACTCGTTGTCTTCAAGGTGCCACTGGACTTCTATTGTTTTTGCAGGAAAAAGGTTGGTTTCAGATCACCAACTCTAAGCCAGAAACTAAATTATAAGTCTGGTTACAGGTAGGGCTCTTCTGCCCATCCTTCCATGCTATATTCATCATGCAGGAGAACAAGTCTCAATTCCCATTTTGTCTTCCTAGCTGCTGCCTCTGCCAGAAAGGCTTATTTTCAAAATCAACCCCTTACACACACTTAGAAAAGAGTCATAGAATCATAGACTCCTGGAGCTAGAAGAGACCTCAGGAGTCAAGTCCACTCCCTTGCCCACAGCAGGACCAACGACAACTAAATCATCCCAGCCAGGGCTTTATCAAGCCAGGACTTAAAAACCTCTAGGGATGGAGATTCCATCCCCTCCCGAGGGAGCCCATCCCAGTGCTTCACCACCCTCCTAGGGAAATAGTTTTTCCTAATATCCAATGTAGACCTCCCCCACTGCAACATGAGACCATTGCTCCTTGTTCTGCCATCCGTCACCACTGAGAACAGCCTCTTTCCAACTTCCTGAAGGGAGGTTCCAGGCTGCTATCAAATCCCCCCTCATTCTTCTCTTAAAAGCCAGCTCTTAAGCCAGCTTCCCGCACATACCGGCTGCTTGCATGTAACCGTGACTGTTAACCAATTAGCCCAGGCTCATCAGTTAAGCTTGTACACGGTTACACTTTCACATCCCTATTGCAGACCTGCCCACTGCTGCGGGGTTATGGGTATTGAGACTTGGCGAGAATGAGCCACTCTCGAGTTACCAAGTCCACCTCTTCTTTTGTGAATTGCATTGTGCTTGATCTCCGTCGGGAATGAGTCATGTCTGACAGCACCAGGAGCTGCTGAAATCCCTCAGTCTGAGTTTCCCAGCCTGGTTGCTCTCGCCAGCATCTGGCAATGCTGTTTGGGGGAGCTGGCTGCACGGCTAAGAGGGCAGTTCAGCCTCCGTGCTCATTAGCGTTCCCGGTGCCCTTCGCTCCCAGTGGAGTCAATGGGAGTTGAAGGTGCACCACACCTTGCCAGAGACTCCCACAGAAGCAGGCCCTTTATTTGTGGCTTCCCCGCTAAAATCTTCACACTCTTCAGCCTGCAATGACTGTAGTGTACCAGATAGGAGAAGGAAAACTCTGGTGATGCACGTGAAATTTTGCTTTGTGGTGTACGGAGCCGGACTGAGGCTACTGACTTGGTTGGTGGAGGCCTCGCAATGCTGATGTAATATCCCTCTCCTGGGTGTGTCGTTGGCAGTAGGGTTTGAACTTGGGGATTGCTGAATGGAAAACCAGGAGTCTCCACTTCCTGAGACAGCAGACCTCTGCTGACAGCACGTATCAGCCTCTATAAGGGTATGTCTACACTACAGTGTTATTTCAAAATATCTAATTTTGAAATAACATGTCTATACACAAAATGCATTTTGAAATAGCTTTTTTGTTATTTCAAAATAGCGCGTCCACACTGATTGGACACTGAATCGCATTTAAGACCAGACGGAACTGGTTCCGACAGGGCATCAGGTCAGAAGTTACCTTGTGGCCAGGGCGGCCAGCAGGGCACCCTGGGAAGGGCTGGAGGCCCCCTACTTCGAAATAAGCATCTACACAGCGCTTATTTCGATATAGCAATTTCAAAATTGGGCTATTCCTCGTGGAATGAGGTTTACCAATTTCAAAATAAGCCCTCCGCTATTTCGAATTAATTTTGAAATAGCCGTTGGCTTGTGTAGACGCTAGGAAAGTTATTTCAAAATAACGGCTGTTATTTCAAAATAACTTTGCCGTGTAGACATACCCTAATATACAGCCCAGCCACCACTGGAGGGGTGACGGTGCCACACTTAACCGGTGTACGTTAAATGGATTAGGGCTGCATTTGAAGTGGCATCCTAGGTGGCTTAGAAATTTCATTTTCTCTCCCCTAAACCACCAGACACTTCGTTCCCCAGAGAGAGAAACATTCAGGGTACCCACAAATTCACCCATGATTAACACCACATGCTAATCAGCAGAGCGCAGCCTCTGACATTTTCTGCAGTGGCTTCCCCACATGGCTAGCTACAGGCACCCACCACAGCTAATGACAGGCGTTCACCACCGCTGCCTCTATGCTCTGCTAGAAAACGGCCCCAGCAGGGCGCTTGCTGTTCAGACAGGTTGTTCATGTGATAGGTTAACAAGTGTCAAAATCTGGCCATATTGAAAGTATTAGAGACTATATAAATGTGGTGAATCTTTCATAAATTAATCTGTAAACTAATATTTAGACAACTAATTTACGTAACTTACTGCTGCTGTCCTCAGCTTGCCAATTGTCAGCAGAAACTACACACTGGTTAATTATTAACCTGAGTTACATCAGACATACCTTCCACTCTTGGGCAGGGCGATGTTTAGACCATTAAGCGTTGTTCTGATTTAATTTAATCTGACAGAGGGTTTCTTCACATGCTTGATGAGGTCAAATTCAGAGTAAGAGCAGGGAAAACAATGGAGATTCCTCTCTCCTTCACCCCCATCCCACTCCCTGACTATATTGTGGCCTGTGAAATTAACCCACGTCACCAGCAAAGGAATAAATTGCCTAGGGAGGTTGTGTAGTCTCTATTATTGGAAGTATTTAGAAGTAGATTAGACAGACATCTTCAGAGGAAAATTTTTTGGGTCAGGGCCTACAGAAAAATCAGCTGGAGCTGCACACAAGTGAGAAGCAAAAAAACCCCAAACCACAAACAAATAACAAACCCTCCCTGTTGTGGCCCCTGACTGAGGCTATGTCTACAATACAGTGATCTATCGGGAAAAGGTATGCAAACTGAGCTCCGCAATTTACGTACCTTTTTCTGATTTTTTTTTTTTTTTTTGGAAGAGGCTTTTCTGAAATTTGGCCTGTCTACACCGGGCCAAATTTTGTAAAAGCCTCCTCTTTTGGAAGAGCCTTCTTCCTCGTGGGAGGAGGAAGACAGGGCTTCCAAAAGAGTACGTCTGCTCTTCCGTTTAAAAAAAAAAAAAGCAAAAGTTACCTGGACATGGCGGAGTTTTTCCAGGATACCTCCAGTATCCCAGAAAACCCCATAGTCTAGATATAGCCTGAGAAGGAAAAAGACACTACCCACATTCTCCTTTCACACCAGAGCCTAGAGGGGCCCAGGCTAGTAGATTTTGTGTGCTCCAGTCCCGTGATGGGCCGGCAGGGGGCGGCTGGAGCACCAATGCGGGCTCCCCAATGCTGGGGGAGTCCCCTGAGCTTTGGGGGTCAGATGCAGGTAAACCGGGGGCTGCATCCTGATCTAGATAATGCTTGGTCCTGCCGTGAGGACAAGGGTTTGGACTTTATGACCTCTCGAGGTTCCTTCGAGTTCTAGGATTCTGTGATTCTATGAAAAGCTGCTGAATCCACATTGGTAAAGAACATGTATTTTAATTTGAAGATCTCTTGCTTTATGGAACCATTATCTATACTATGTTGAAATCTAGAGACAGTGGAGTCCATCTTAAACCCTAATTTAAGAGGGTTAGCAAATGATTAGAAAAGAGGACTAGAAACTGGGACTTTCAGGACTGTGGGTTTCCATTTCCGATTTTCAAACTGGCTGCCTTAGATTTTTTTTCAATTCCTAACTTTAAAATCTTTTAAAAGGGAGAGGAGTTTCCCTCCACTTTTGGGGGGAGGGTGCAGAGTGGCTGAACAAGTTACTTCTGTAGCACACGTTGATGCCTGTAGATGAAAGATGCTACGGAAGAGATTGAAAAGCCTTCAAGATAAGGATTCTGATGTAGGTCTATTTCCGCAGCTCTCCTTCATGCCAGTATCCTTTGTGGACTCAGCAGGCTTGCTTGTGTAAGCTAGCCTGCTGAGATCTGCAACACATTTAATATAGTGCCTGGAAGGTATTTTAGCTGTTTGTGATTCTGGACCAAGTGCTGACTAGGACTTGCAGGACTGTGCAAAAAGGAACAGTGGTGGTAGTAAGGGACGGGGGAAGTTTAACACCAAAGTTTGGTCTGAGTTACATTTTTGATTGAGCTGAAGCAACTCCTGTTCTTCCCCAGGAATTTCAAAATATATTTTACACAGAAATAGCTCAGTAATGCCTTCCAAATCCACCGACAGCACTGTCCATCTGCAATTGCTTTACCAACATGACTGAGTTCATACGCCCAGCACTTCTCGTTCTGCAGATGAGGGAATTGAAGTCTGTCAATACAGTTAAGGAAAAAAATGTCTAGTGTGGCCTCTGCTTCTGAGTGCCTTGGGAAATGTCCAACTTCTGGTGCCACATGGGCCTGATTTTCAGAGGAGCTAATACTATTGCAGGCCTCGCCCTTGGCTTCCAAAGCAGGAGTCCCAAAAACCTGAGGCCACACTTGAAAACTTAGGAAACCCAGGTAAGCCCAAGGAGTTAGTGGCAGACTGAGGAACAGAAACCAGCTCCCCAAACACACTGTTGTTCTTCAACTACTGCACTACACTTCCTCCTCCTAGCTATCTGCCTTCCGCAGTCTGTAAGTGGAGCTATTCTATCTACTCCATCCTGTTAACAAGTAATTAGACAAAAACCAGAGACACCCCCCCCCCGCGCTCCTAATGAATGTGATGTTCTGTAACTCATCTGGATGACTTTGTTTGCCTAGGTGGGTTTTCCTCTATGAGAAGGGCTATCAGTCAGAGGATGGCATCATCAGCTCGGTCTCGGTGAAGCTGAAAGGTTTAACCGTTACTAACATTAGTGGGATGGGCCCACGCGTCTGGGATGTGGCTGACTATGTTTTTCCACCTCAGGTAAGGAGGAGGGCAGGTTTTGCTGATCGCTGTCCTTTATGGGCACTTGTGGAGGAGAGGGAACCAGCCAATGGCTCTCAGGCCTGGTTAGTGCAGGACCACCACTGTCTGAAAGGATGTCCTGCAACACACTCGGGGCCCTTTTTCTAGGGGTCCTGAGCATCTGCCACTTTTCTTAAGGCCAACAGGGACTGAAGGTGCTTAAGCCCCACTTAAGGAAATCAGGCCACAAGTAACTGTCCGCTCTCGACTAGTTACCGTTTATTTCCTGCCTGTATTATAGTGATGTCTGAACCATTTTGGATAAGATTAGAATAGATTTTCCTTCCAGCCCTACTACTTCCATGCTCTGTCCTCCCCTCCTCTCCCCCATCTTCTCTGTGTCTATTTGACTCTCCTCCTCTTCAGGGGTGAGGCCTGACTACCCTCATCCCCCTAGAGACTAGGGCCTCTCTGGACTCTGTTCTGAGACGTGGGGGCTCTTGTCCCCTCTCTCCAAAGCAGGGGCTCCAAATTGCTGATGGGGCTGAGGAGAGGTGCAGCACCCAACAGCAGCCCAAAAGGATGTGTCCCCAGGAGACAGTGTTGGCCTCGCTGTCCCTAGTCTCCTTATTTGGGGGGGGGGTGATGTTTTATCTCCTTTTCCTCCTGCTGCTGCTCCCCCTTGTAGCATCCATGGGAGAGACTCCTTGCCCCTCACGAGACACTAGCTGGTTGAGTCTTTAAAGTGGCGGTGTTGGGAAGAGGGTGAAGGATGAGTCTGCCTAAGTGAGGAAGGGTCAGCAGGGTTGTTCACCACCTGGGACACAGTCAGATGGAGGATTTGTGCACAACTGCAGTGTCTTATGCCCAGTAATTCCCCTCCCCCACCCACACCCACACACCATGACGACTCGCTTGAAAATAAGTTTCCGTTACTGACCTGATTCCATTCCTCTTTGTAGGGGGACAGTTCTTTTGTGGTGATGACGAATGTCATTATCACCCATGGACAGAAGCAGGATATTTGCCCTGAGGTAAATAGAGTTGTTTTATATTTGCGGGGCTTTATTATTATTATTATTATTTATTATTTAGGCTTATTGGGGATGAGTGAATGAATTCAGGAAAAAAATCAGGTCTCTTCCCTCTCTTCCCCCACCCCCTAATATTTACCTAAAATTCCACACAGCCCCCAGAACTTCCCTGGAACTATCCCCCTTTTTGGCTGGTTATTTCAATAAGAACTCTGGAGTCACACATTTCCTCTTTGCACAGTAATAGGCAAGTCAGTTCACAAAGGGTTCCTCCCTGATGGATAAGAGACAACCTCTAAGCAAGAGCAGGCCAGGGTGGAATTGTTTCCTATTATAGTAAAGCCCCATTTTCTCCTAGCTTACAAATCCCACTGTTTCCCCACCAATTTGCTAGTGGCAAGCTTCTAATCTTTACCTTTATGGATATTATGCTTATTCTTTTTGGCAAAGAAATACCTTGTTTATAAGCAGGGGGAAGCTATTGTTAATGTGGTGGATGCATTGTATTACAGTTGCCTTCCGTAATAAAACACTCTGGGAACTAACAAGCCCATTAGCAAATCTATTTTCAGCCTCCCCATTTCAAATGTGACTTTTGGTAACTCTTGTTATGCGGTTTCCAAAGAATTTGCATTTGCTCAGCAGAGACATGGTTGGGAAGCAGAGTTTTCCTTCTGATATCAGACGGATTTGCCAAGTCTCCGAAATTCCAGAGTCGCAAAGAAACGTTGTATCTCCTGTGGCTACCTGTACTCAGAGTCACTCAGGAATGCTCTGCGCAGTGTGGCTGAAATTTCCAAAGCCATTTAAAGGATTTGGCTGCTCAAATCCCCCTTAATTTTTAAGTGGAAATTTCAACATCCAAATCCTCTTTAGCAGAACTGAGAATCCCAGCCTGTATAGATATAACAAGGACCAGTACAGCTCCTCTGGGAAAATTGGATTTTCTACTTAATTCATTTACATTTACCCTGGCATCATTTATACTTGTATTCACAGTATACTACTGTCTTTTGTGAGGCAGAGGATGGCACTTCGGTATCTGCTTAGGCCCAACAGTGAAAGTAGTCAAATCCTTTAGGGGTTTTCCTCCTCATATTCTAGGAACAGCTGTCTAGAAGATCTGCCACCCAAGAGCATGATCCTCAATCCGGTTTAGGGCTTCTCTTCACTACTTTGTGTTATAACTCCAACGTTGCCCCTCATTCTAGTCATGTCCCCATGCAAAACCCCTCAAATTGAGTGTGCTGGAGCTTTTAACTTGAGTTGCCTGGCTCCTCAGGAGGTACAGGTACAGCTTAAGTGAGTTCAATTTGTCATCCGCTCGTCCAGTCGCTCAGAGCAGCTCTAGTGTTACTTTGCAACCTGGTTGCTGTTGCTCGAGCTAGGGTGGCTACGAGCGGTGACAACTCAAGTTACTCTGCAGTAAAGACACAGCTTGAGGGCTTGTCTATGTGGAAGGTTACATGCAGCACGCCAGTATGTTGGGGATTTGCATCCTTGTTTGCCACGCAGCAATGTCCCATGTAGATAAGCCCTTAGTCTAAAGATAATTGGAGTTCCCCACTACGGACAGTGCAGAAAGAACAAAGAGGAGTCCTGTGGCACCTAATAGACCAAGGGTGGGCAAGAGCAGTGTTCCCTCTAATACTGCCGCCCAGCTTCACAGGTGATTAATTAGCCCTGCCCAGTCAGTCAGCTCCATGCAGGGAGCCCTGAGCCTCTGACTGGGCGGGGCTGATGCCTGGGAGCAGGGACAAGCAAGCCCTTTCAGGAAGTGGGTAGAATCTTCTATTTAAAGGACTGTACTTCCCTTGGGTATAATTGCTGTCGTCATTGCATTCTCCTGCATCTGGCAGCTGTGGGGAAGGTATGAGCCCTTTAAATAGGCAACACACTAGAGGCGCGGGAGCTGTGAGCCCTTTAAATAGAAACAGTTGAAAGGGCTGGCAGCTCCTCCCACCCCGCTAACGTGATGCCTGGGAGCCACAGGGGAGGCATAAGCCCTTTCAACTCTTGCTATTTAAAGGTCCCGCCCCTTCCACCTGAGGTCCCGCCCCTTCTGCCTGAGGCCCTGCCCCTTCTGGGGCAGCCCACAACTGCTTCAAAAATTTCTGAAGTGTCTCACCTTCAAAAATGATTTGCCCATCCCTGTTACAGACAGATATATTAGGGTAAAACCCACTTCATCAGATGAATTGGAGGGGAAGTTACAGAAGAAGGGGTATAGCTGATGAAGTGGGTTTAACCCACCAAAGCTTAGGCCCAAATAAATCTGTTAGTCTCAAAGTTGCCACAGGACTCCTCGTTGTTTTTGCAGATACAGACTAGCAGGGCCACCCCTCTGAGACAGTACAGATAGAGATTGCTGGGCACCTGACTCCCAGCCACTGAGAGATGTCTGCTTTCTTTCCCACCACAGCTGCCAGATGCTGGAGAATGCAATAATGACAGCGATTGTACCCAAGGGAAGTACAGTCGCCAAGGGCAAGGTAAGAAATGAAGCATTCAGACTGTGAGCTCTTCAGAGCAGGGACTTTGTCTTTCATTGTCTCTGAAATTCCTAACTTGCTTTTGGTGCTATCGGAGTAGCAGGCTGCCAGCAGTTCTTAGTCAGATGGTACAATGAGAGGGGAGATCTAGGTTGGATATTAGCAAAAACCATTTCCCGAGGAGGGTGGTGAAGCACTGGGATGGGTTCTCTAGGGAGTGGGTAGAATCTCCATCCTTAGAGGTTTTTAAGTCTCAGTTTGACAAAGCCCTGGCTGGGATGATTTAGTTGGGGTTGGTCCTGCTTTGGGCACAGGGCTGGACTCGATGACTCCTGAGGTCTCTTCCCACCCTAGGATTCTGTGATAACAGAAATGCAGGGATTAGATGGGACAGATTCTTTGTTACTTTCTCACAGTGCAAGGAAGGTGGCAGAGACGGGCTGAACTCACAGGAAAGGATCGGATGAATCTGAATGTGAGAAGATTCTTTCCTGTTCCCATTCCTTGGGAAAAGGGTCACGTTCTATCACATCCACACCTGCCTGTGCCTCACTGGCAGCAGAAAATCACACACACACACACACACACTCTTCAGTGCCAGAGTTACTAACTTCCTTCTCAGGGGTTCACCTTCCAATCCACACCTGCCTGTGCCCCGCTCTGCAGAAGGGTTGCGAGAGCAGAGAATCCCCAAATGCAGGACAAAAAAAGCCCTTCTCAGGCATTGATGCTAGTCTGTAACAACCACAGAGGTTGCATAGATACAGGGAAGATACACTGAGCAATCCAGAGGAATCCACAGAGGAAGTTTTGGGCAGGAAAGGGGAGGAGACGGGCATCCTCTCATGGGAGGAGGGGTGGTTTAGCTGCAGTATCAGCCAACACCAGGAAACAGCAAGCTGGGAGAGACAAACAATGCACATCAGGAGAGAGGCCTGTATCCCCCCAAGATGGAGGTGGGGAACCTTTTTTGGGTTGGGGGCTGCTGACCCACAGAAAATCAGTTGGGGACTGGGGGCGGCAGGGAGGCAATGGGGGGGCTGGCTTGCCAGCATTGGCTCCCCAATGCTGGGGAAAGCCCTAAGCCTCAGGGTCCAGATCCAGGCAACCCAGGGGTTCCATGCAGCCCACGGGCCTTAGGTTCCCCACCCCTGCCCCAAGAGAACTCTCCCCAAGAATGCTCTAGAGTGGTGAGCAAACTGAGGCAGGGAAATGCCTGTAGCTTGTCTTGTCTTTGTGTAGATCTGGGTATTTCTCATGCTAGTCTGTAAAGAGCCAATAGTTTTATAACCCTGCTGAGGGCCTATCTGCATTGTATGTGCTATACCTGTCACGTGCCCTAGAAAAATTAATCTTTGAACCCAGAACATCCACACAACTGGAGTTTTGGGAAAGGGTGTGATTAAAGATGGAAAGTCCGAAGGGTCAATATTAATTCCCGGGCCAGGCAGCGGGACTTTGGGGTTTGAACCAGATTCTCTGTCTTATACCCCCTGTCAAGAGTACGCCTAGAAACCCGGCCAGAGACAGAGCTAGGGGCATTACACTTACAGGAGTCAGTGGTTGGATCCCTCACAGCAGTGTGGTGAGTGACTAGGGGAACCACTCAACTAGATCTGTGACAACAGGCGCTGCTAAAAACTGAGCAGCTATCTGGACTCACAAGAAACAGGATCTCCTGATCTTCAAGACAACAACTGCTTCCTACCACTCAAGCAGAGCTATTTGCTGGAATGGTTGGGGGAGTCAGAATTCCTGGGATCCATCTGTGGCTTTGCCAAGGACTCGTTCTTGGGCCTTACCCAACTCCCTTAGCGTCAGTCTTCAGAGTGAAATCCCCCCCCTATTTGTTGGTGTAAGAGCTGAATAGACCCAGTGTGGACCATCTGCACAGGTGTGAATCTGACCCACATAGTGTTATTGTCCCTCTGGGTACGTCTACACAGTGGCGCTGTTTTGGGATAACAGACTTATCCTGAAATAGTGTTCTGCGCTGTCTACACAAGAAGCCTGTTATTTCGAAATACAGTCAAAATAATAGGTGTCTTAGGCCAGCTTCCTGTAAACTTTGTTGCATGAGGAATAAGGAAGATGCTCTATTTTGAAATTTAAATCTCAAAATAAGCTTGAAATAAGTTACACAATTTGCATAGCTCAAATTGCATATCTTATGTTGAGCCAGCGCCACTGTGTAGACGCGCCCTCTAAGTATTAAAACTGGCTGAGTTATCCCTAGACCAATTACAAAGCCTCACAGACACACTGCTTCAACATTATTGCTTTCCTCGAGGCACATGTGATATGTGCCACCATGCTGTGCCTATCATCATAATTACTGTATTTATTAGTTACTGTTTTGCTATAACTTTTAGAGTCCCCATGCGAGATAGGGGTGTCATGGGGGTGTAAGAGAAAGAGATGGCCTGTGTTCCAAAAAGCTTACAAAGCAAACTGACAAAAGAGAAAGGGAGGATAGTGATCCCTGTTTCGCAGCGGGGCAGCCGAGACACAAAGAGATTATGTGACTTGGTTACAGTCACACTGGGAGTCGGTGGTAGAACTGTGATTTGCACCCAAGTCTCCAGAGGCCTGGGAGCACAAGGCTGCCCTCTGTCTCAATAATGTGACATTTGGCAGGGAGCATCTCTAGCTCTTGGACAGTCTCATTATCCAGCCACAAGTGTGACCTTTAAACTCTATTTCCTTCAGGAATCATGACTGGGAAGTGTGTCAATTTCAACAGCGATGACAAGACCTGTGAGATTTTTGGCTGGTGCCCAGTAGAAGAAGATGATCAGATTCCTAAGTAAGAAATGGTCCTATTTTCGGTCATGTTTCCCTACTTGGTTGCGAGGGGCATTGCTAGGGTGGGCTGTAAGCTCAGGGTTGCACTGGAACAAGACCACTGAATAACTATTGCTGCTCATGAGCCAAATCCCGAAGCTCCTACTCAGGCCAAACTCTAATGGGGCCAAATGCTGACCCTGCTGCTCCATGACATGGGCACAACTTTGCAGAGTGGTAAATACCTCCTTGGTGGTGGGCTGCAGTGGCAGGCGCCATGTGCTGCAGTTTCAAGATCACGGCACCTATATCCACCCTCCATGGTCCCATGAGGGCACCCACTTAAGGTTTCTGGCTTCCAGGTATCTCCTCTCTTGGGCAGAGACCTCTGTCACTCCCTTCAGGATGGGGCTTTCAGGCTGCACGGCACCCCACCAGCCAGTCTCCGATATCCCTGGCAAGCCAGTCTGCCTCCAGGCCAGCCCCGGTGCATTGCTTTCTGTCTTAGAGAGCGCAGAACAGCGCACTGCCAGCCGTTACAAGTTACCACCCAGTTCTTTCTGAGCAAGCACACTTATTCTTAGGGCAAAAGCATTACAGAGAAAACATAAACAGCCAGACCAGAACTTACACTCGTACTCAAAGCTTAGCAGTGGTCACCCCCAACTCCGTCTACAGTATGGTAGGTGTCAGTCTTTCCACCCTCACAAGAATTTGCCCCCTAGGTTACAAGTTCATTCAGATTTTCAGTGAGGAACCAGACCCCCAGTGGGGCTATTCAGCGGTTTCTTTATACACCATAGGCCTTTGCTTTCCTCCAGCCGGGACTGGGTGATCACCAGTCAATGGCCCTCTCCTCAGGACGTAGCTTCAAAAGGCTGGGGTTGTAGAATTTGCAATAACCATTCCCCAGGTAATCCTCTTAACACTTAGAGTGCATCTATGCAGCAGGGCTTAACTCGAAATAAGCTACACAAATTGAGCTACCTCAGTTGGGTCGCTTATTTTGAAATGTGGAGCATCTACACAGCACTTATTTCAATACAGAGCAGTCTTCCTCCAACTTTCCTTACTCCTCGTACAATGAGGGTTACAGGCGACGGAGTAAGAAGTCCTCCAGCTTGACAGTATTTTGACTTTATTTCGAAATAATGTTGCTGTGTAGACGTACCCTTATTGTATCAGACAGGAACGGGCTTTCGGGACATTTCAATACCGTTAGGTGCTGGGTTTAGGGTACGGCTCCTGGATGGTGTTGGCAGCCTGTGATATACCGGGGGTCAGGCCAGAATATGATCTTCTGGTTTTTACCTCTCTTGAACTCCTTACACTTCCCAAATTTCACATCTGTCACAGCCCTTATCAGCAACCAAGACGTTTCCCTCACACTTGCACACTTGTATACATGGGTGGGAAATACCAAGGAGACATACTCACTAATATATATGTAAGAGCAACAGGGGCCTTCGTTGCTTCCTTTTCCTGATCCTTGAGCTGCAGATCACAGTCTCCCCTTTTGGTCTGTGGTGTGTTTGAGTGGTCGGGGCTGTCACGGTTACCGAGCTAGCTGTGAACCTGTCCTCTCTCTGGTCTCTCGGAGCGCACCATTTGCGTCGTTAGCATTTACTACGATTCTTCCACATTTAGACCCTCCCTGGGCTACAGTTCCCTGTGGATCAACTAATCAAATCCAGCAGGTTCAGCTGAATTCAGGTACCTGCTGCTCTTCCCTTCAGGAGTCTGCGATTGATAGTTCCCGGGGACCAGACCGCTTTCCTGAAACTCAAGGAGGATTTATTTTAACATTTTGAGAAAAAGGATTTTAAATCCATCGTCTCTCTTAGATAAAGGCTTCCCATTGCCTGAGGGTAACCCGGGCAGGCCTAACCTGTAGTCACACTGAATGACATAGGCATGCAGTGGCGCTGGAACAATTCTTGGAGTGGGGGTGCTGCACCCCCTCCAGCCCTGTCTGCACCAGCAGCAGAGCCCCAGAAGCTGGTGGCCAAGCAGGCTCCCGGGGCCAGCAGCGGAGCCCCTGGGCACAGGGACAGCAGCCGAGAGGAGGTAGGCAGAGTGGACCCTCAGGGCAGCAGTGGGGCAAGCGGTTAGGAGCATGCTGGGCGGGTAGCCAGGACACTGGGGCTGGCAATAGAGCCCCAGGCACCAGCAGCTGAGGGGGATCCCAGGCTGGCAGTGGAGCCCCCAGGGCTGGCAGCTGAGGAGAATGCCAGACAGGCCGCAGAGTCCCCAGGTCAACAGTCGTTGATGACCAGGAGCCCCACATACAGTGCTGGCAGCCAGGACCTTGGGGCCCTCACCAGAGCCCTCTGGGCCAGCAGTGCAGGGGCAAGGACACTGGGCACAAAACCTGGAGGCGCTACAGTGCGTGCGCTTACACACACACACACACACACACACACACACCCCTTCGCTCCAACTTCACGTGAACTACAGGTGTGGAGATTGCTGCAGGATTTTGCGCGGGGTCCTGCTTGTCCCTAGCCTTGCACCCAGGACACCTGTCCGGAGCTCTGCTATAGTCCCAGTCTCAACCCACCCACCCCACGCCCTCCTGGAGCCATGGCCTGGTCCTAGCCCCAGCTCTGAGGGGGCACGGATAAGGGTAAGAAGAATGTGAAGTAAAAAGTTTGGGGACCACTGGCTTTCAGCACCCCCTCTGTGAAAAGTGCTCCAGCGCCACTTCTGCCCTCTCGAGAGAATGTTCCCTTTTAAACCTGCCACGGACCTTTTAATAGGCCTTCTCCTCTCTTGGTATCGTCGCTTAACCGCTCTCAAGGGTTAGCAGAGAAGCGGCTTAACTGGAACCTTTCTTCCCTTCCTGCTTGTTTTCCCATGACCGCCGCCTATGAACCGAAAACCCTAGAAAGCCTCTAAGTCGTAACCATCTCACCATACTGTATTCATAACTTACAGAGCTGCTCCAAATCCATCCCAGAGTCTTCCAGACATTCTCGCAAAGGTTCTTCCCCTTTCAGGGTAAGTCAAAGTTTCCAACAAAGGGAGACACCCAGCAACTTCCTCCTTCGCCCCCCCATAAACACCGGGGCGGGGGCAGAGCAGGACAAGGTCTGGGGTAGGAGCACTTAGCGGGGCACCCCGGCCACATCTCCTTGCCAGGAGTGCCCCGACCTTGAGTATCCGCATCCAGTCCAATATCTGCAGAAACAAATGGTGGCTACCCGCATCCACAGGGCTCTGAGTGTAGCCCGTTGCGGCTCTCGTGTCAAGCCTCTTCCTTCCTCTATGCACCTTTCCCAGGTTCTTCTAAATCTTACCTCCTCATCTCCTCCCCACTGCGGGCTCCTCAGCATTCTCTGCCCCACCTCGAAGAACCTCCTGCCGGAGCCCTGCCTTATATACTGCCGCCTGTCACATGACTGCCCCTTAGCCCGGCCCCCAATCTGCAGCGGGACTTGCTCTCTGTTCGGTCACGTGGTCTGGAGAAGACAAGTCCCTTAAAGGGGCCGGGCCGTGGAACAGGGCTGGCTTAGCGCAAGCCACAGCGACCCTTAATTAGAAGACAGAGTGCCCCGTTATGTAGGCAATGCAGCTAGCTGAGAGAGCACGATCTCCTGGGAACATGAATACCTAGCATTGTTCCTAAGTGAGCAGGTTCACAAAAGCTGCTCTTGGGCACTGCAAATGTCTTCTTGATTAAGTGGATCTTAGCAGAGGGGAAGTGATGTTTTCCCCCCTCCGTGGGGAGGAGGGGCTGTTCCAACACAGTAAAGTTGCTGAATAGACTCCATGCTGCTCCTCCCACTTCACTGAGTGGCCAGAGCAGGGGGCTGTGAGAGACACATCCTGCATGCTTTCACCGGACGGGCAACAGGCTCTGAGGCCCATCAGATCATGTTACGGGTGCTCTGACTGGCCCATTGCCAGGATCCCTTCTCCCATCCCTCCCTGGGTGCTTCTGGGCTCTGGGGGGTATTGTCATGCCAGGGTTTTATTAGTCTCGACTCTCAGCTCTTCCCCAGCACAGGGGTCATGGAAAGCCTGGATCCCTGGAGTAGTAGGTCTGGGTCAGAGAGCTCCCTGCCCTTTTCTGAGGCTGCCGAGGCTCTTCCCATTGAAAACCAGGCACTCCCGTCATTGGGAATGGGAGCCTGCCATGGGAGCTGAGCTTGTTGCCTTTCCTGGGGAGTTTTGCTTGAGGGTAAAGACTTCAGAATGTGGCCAACGTGTTCAGCAGTAAATCGTTCTGGGGATCATTTCAGTCCCTCTGTTCTATCCGTAAAAGAAGAGGTGCCACATAGGAAGCCAGCTGCGAAACCAAAGCCTTGCGACGGGCATCCGATTCTAGGCTCTGCACCCGCCAGTGGGCCTGTGGGTGTGCCTGAGCATTATGGCTTCTCCACAGTAAAGTCAACACAGCAGATCATGAAAGGAAGCTCTTTCAACAGGCACAAGAAAAGTCTTGTAGTCCTCATAGCAAATAGTCCCCCTTCTCTACCGGACTCCACCGAGGATACTTTGAAATCCATTTCGTTACCTACAAAGTGCAAGAACTAGGCCAAATATCTCATTGGTTTCTGAATGTGGTCATTTGGGTGCTACCCCATGGGATTTCTTTGCATCTGGTTTTCTTCCCTTTATTGTAATTACACTTGAACGACTTTAATCTGGCAATCCTGGGAAACAGGGTTTGCCAGATTACAGATTTTGCCAGGCCAGGGAGGGAGAGAAGAGGATGAGGGTAGGGCGCTGTACCAGATACTCTGCCTCCCTCACCATCCCAGGCACTGCCCCCATCACCACTATGCATCACTGTGCTGCAATTCCCCCAGCTGAAGGGGGTAGAGGGAGCAGCAGCATGGAGTCACTTCTGCCTCCACCCGGCAGGGTCTGTACCACGGTTGTTCTTGAACGAAGGACACCCAGGCTACACCGACACTGCTTCCTTCTTTCGCAAAAGCCTATGCAAATGAAGCACAGATTAGCATATTGCCGTGCTTCATTTGCATAATTAATTAGGACCTGGTTTTGCGCAAGTGGTTTTTGTGCAAAAAGGAGCCGTCTATACCATGCCTTTTTGTGCAAAAGCCCCCTCTTGCGCAAGAGCCATTCTTCCTGAAAAAATGAGGAAGAATGGCTCTTGCGCAAAAGCCTTTTGTGTGAAAACAGCTCCTAATTAATTATGCAAATGAAGCACAGCAATATTCTACTCCACGCTTCATTTGCATAAACTTTTGTGGAGGAAGGGTGCAGTATAGATGTAGCCCCAAGGTATGGAGGTGCTAGTATACTTTAGATGTTGGCTAACTAAAAGACAAGCACTTGTTAACACGTCTTTTTCAGCCCCCCGTTGCTCTTAGAAGCGGAAAACTTTACCTTATTTATTAAGAACAGCATCACCTTCCCCAAGTTTAAAGTCTCCAGGTGAGTAAACTCTTTTTTAGAGCTCAAATGTCACATCTGTATGACTTGTATTTGTGATCGCCTGTGAGTGTGATCCCTGACACTATGCAAAGGGATGTAGAATTGGAGCTCTTGGCTCATTTGGTACAGAAAAACACCATCTTTTGTCCCTGAGTCTAGAATATGGTTGAATGAAGTGTTCGATAACAGATTGGCTGGCAGGAATCAGAACCGGTCCTTAAACAAGTTGCTAACCAATACTGGAACAAAAGTCCAAACAATAAGATTGCATGTGTGAGTAAAGATACACGCTTGTTCACAAGAGCAGAGTTTAACTTTATAACACATGGTTCAGTGTAGCTGGGCGTGAGTCTCAGCCTTTGCAGACAGATTCGTGCTAGCCACCTGACCTCTGACACTGGAGACTGCGTGGCCAGCCTGAGCCCCTGCAGCAACGTTCAGTCTTCTTTTTTTACCACCCGAGCTCATGCTAATATGAGTCTATCTACTGGGAACTCGCAACCATCTTAAGAGTAACCTTCCTATTGGATTGGGACTCAGAAGACCTGGTTCTATTGCCAGATGTGCCACTGAGCTTGCTTAAGTCACTTTCCCCATGATATGCCTCCGTTTACCGATCTGTACAATGGGGATAATGATAGTGACCTCCTTTGGAAAGCACTCTGAGATGTATTGATGAAACTGCTTAGATAGGAACCAGGTATTGTTACAAGGAACACGTCAGCTATGTAAAACCTGCTGGCTTGGTGCTAGCATTTGGCTATGTTTGCCTGCAAACAGTGTCGAATTTCAATCGTAAAATTAGAGAAGCAGAGATTGCAATGACATTTACTAGAGATCTCCATTGTCGTGGTGAACATACCTCTCCTCTGCCTGTCTTTTGATTCTTCTCAAGGCAGAAATGTAAAATACAGTTACTACAATGGGAGCAGCTAAAGCACCAGGACAACCCCTAGATTGTATAGAAATTGTCAAAGGCCCTTCTCATCATAAGGATTTCTGCTTCTATTACAGTAATTGATTTAGGAAATAATTCCCTCCGTGCCACTCAGTAAGTGCTCTCTCTGACCAAAGTAAGAGGATTTGTTGCTGAACTGATTATAAATGTGATCCAGAACAAATGAACAAAAGTCATGACTGATTCCCTTTTATAGATGTGCATGGTCCCTGTACTGTTTATGAGGTTAAATACACAGTAACCTGATATTAATCCATGCTGCTTTCTGAAGCAGCATGTATTCAGTAGAATCTATCCAGTCTCCATTACTTTAGTGCAGCAGTTCCCAAACTTTTTGGTATCACGCCCCCTTTTTGATTTTTGAGAAACCTTCATGCCTCCCCACCTCTTCTTTACCGTCATCCACCCTCCCCCCTTAACAAAAAATGCAATTAATAATTTTTTACACTGATAATTTTTTTTTTCATTATGAAAATGTCTCAGCCTTGTGCCCCCCTTGGAATTTCTTCATGCTTCCCTCCACAGTTTGGGAACTGATGCTTTAGTGCCATGGCTTGCCAGTTCACTCAAAACTATGCTCCATAGAGGAGAAAGAGGATAAGATATTCTATAGTGGTAATAAGGTGAACTGCACAGAACCCAGCTAAACAAATCCTTCTCTGTCATCCTGTCATATTTTGCCTTCACTATTTTAATTTCTGCATGACAAAACCTTGTTACCAATTCAAAATGGGACCAGTTTCACTAATTCAAATCCAGAGAAACTCCAACTGACAAGTTACCCTGGTTTACAATAGTGTAAGTGAGCATTTTGCCCTTTCGGCCAGGAACTCTGTTAGGAGGTGTTCGTACAGCACCTAGCACAATGGTACCTGTCCTGACCATGGACTATTGGAACAATCGCTATCTAAACAAACAATTGAAACAGTCTGGATCAAAGTGAATAAATTCTACTATGTCCCTAGTGGGTTCTAGCTATAATGCTCTCTTCCACTGCTTCGAAAACAAATTTCCGAGTCATGCCTCAGACCTTATTTTTGTCTCTAACGTGTCTCCAGATGATCCAGTATTTCACAAAATGTAAGTTCTTTGTTCTTGTGTTGCTGATTTAACAATGTTCACCTCAGCCTAGCTTTTCGAAAGAGCTCAGTACCCCTTAGGCCCCAGAGACAAGTTTAAAGGTTTTCAAAAGAACTTGGCCTGTTGGGTGCAGAACTCTTCTGAGACTTCTGATTTTGAGGAACAGCTAGCCAAAAATTCAAAAAAAATAGCAAAATGTTTTTAAAGTACATTAGAAGCAGGAATCAAGGACGATAAAGCCATTGCGGAGAGACTAAATGATTTCTTTGCTTCAGTCTTCATGGCTGAGGATGTTAGGGAGATTCCCAAACCTGCACCGTCCTTCATGGGTGATGAATCTGAGGAACTATCCCAAACTGAAGTGTCATTAGAGGAGGTTTTGGAACAAATACAAAAACTTAACAGTAACAAATCACCGGGACCAGATGGCATTCACCTAAGGGTTCTGAAAGAACTCAAATGTGAAATTGCAGAACTATTAGCTGTGGTTTGTAACCTATCCTTTAAATAAGCTTCTGTACCCAAGGACTGGAAGACAGCTAACATAACACCAATATTTAAAAAGGGCTCTAGAGGCGACCCTGGCAATTATAGGCCAGTAAGTCTAACATCAGTACTGGGCAAATTAGTTGAAACAATAGTAAAGAATAAAATTGTCAGACACGTAGAAGAACATAATTTGTTGGGCAAAAGTCAACATGGTTTCTGTAAAGGGAAATCATGTCTTACGAATCTATTAGAGTTCTTTGAAGGGGTTAACAAACATGTGGACAAGGGGGATCCAGTAGATATAGTATACTTGGATTTCCAGAAAGCCTTTGACAAGGTCCCTCACCAAAAGCTCTTGTGTAAATTAGGTTGTCATGGGATAAGAGGGAAGATCCTTTCATGGACTGAGAACCGGTTAAAAGACAGGAAACAAAGGGTAGGAATCAATGGTAAATTTTCAGAATGGAGAGGGGTAACTAGTGGTGTTCCCCAAGGGTCAGTCCTAGGACCAATTCTATTCAACTAATTCATAAATGATCTAGAGAAAGGGGTGAGCAGTGAGGTGGCAAAGTTTGCAGATGATACTTAACTGTTCAAGATAGTCAAGATTAAAGCAGACTGTGAAGAACTTCAAAAAGATCTCACCAAACTGAGTGACTGGGCAACAAAATGGCAAATGAAATTTAATGTGGATAAGTGTAAAATAATACATATTGGAAAAAATAACCCCAACTATACATACAATATGATGGGGGCTAATTTAGCTACAACTAATCAGGAAAGAAATCTTGGAGTTATCATGGATAGTTCTCTGAAAACATCCATGCAGTATGCAGCGGCAGTCAAAAAAGAAAATAAGATGCTAGGAATTATTAAAGAGAGAGAGAAAATAAGATGAAAAATGTATTACTACCCCTATATAAAACTATAGTATGCTGACATCTTGAATATTGTGTACAGATGTGGTCTCCTCACCTCAAAAAAGATATTTTGGCATTAGAAAAGGTTCAAAAAAGAGCAACTAAAATGATTAGGGGTTTAAAATGAGTCCCATATGAGGAGAGGCTAAAGAGACTGGGACTTTTCAGTTTAGAAAAGAGGAGGCTGAGGGGAGGTATGATAGAGGTATATAAAATCATGAGTGGTGTGGAGAGGGTGAATAAAGAAAAGTTATTTACTTTTTCCCATAATAAAAGAACTAGAGGACACCAAATGAAATTAATGGGTAGCAGGTTTAAAAAGTATCAAAGAAAGTTCTTCTTCACACAGCGCACAGTCAACCTGTGGAACTCCTTGCCTATAACGGAGTTTTAAAAAGAGCTAGATAAATTCATGGAGGTTAGGTACTTAAAATGATATTAGCCAAGGGGTAAGGAATGGTGCCCCTGGCCTCTGTTTGTCAAAGGCTGGAGAAGGATGGCAGGAGACAAATTACTTGATCATTGTCTTCAGTCCACCCCCTCTGGGGCACCTAGTACTGGCCACTGTCGGCAGACAGGATACTGGGCTAGATGGACCTTTGGTCTGAACCAGTATGGCCGTTCTTATGACACTGGATATCAGCTACTGGGTGAGGAGTAATGAGCTCATTTGAAAATCTAGCCTTCTCTACCTTAACTAGCCATCAGCTATCACATTTCATTCAGCTAATCTCTAGATTATTTTTTTATTCACAGACGCAACCTGGTGGAGAGCATTACCTCGAGCGATCTGAAAAAATGCACCTATCACAAAATACATGATCCCCTTTGCCCTGTGTTTGAGCTGGGATACATCGTGAAGGAGTCGGGACAAGATTTTCGTGTTTTGGCCCTTAAGGTACACAGATTTCAACTGATGTTTCCTTTGGTCATGAGAATGCCCAAATGTACCTCGGAGGCAGGTCTCCTTCAGCTGCAAGCACAGGCTACAGGGAAATATAGTCTAATCTGCAAAAGAAGAGTCCGGGAAAGGCAGAGCATGTTGTGTACCTGTTAACAATGATTGTGTGCCTTTGCCACGTTGCTGATCATGAGTTGCTACGAAGTTGTTTGTTTTAGAACAAAGAAGGGGTGGTTGGGGGGGGGGGTTGGTCTCCACCCTTCTCATGCTGTTTGGCCTTTGGATTGAGGAGCTCACCACAGCTTTACTTAAAAGTTTTTCGCTTCCTTATTGCTTTTTGTTAGCATTACTCTTCCCCCCCCCCACCTGCAGCCACAAGTGCACACACATGGTTCACACCCAAGCCACCTGTCTCCATGTTAGCATCTTACACTTGGGCGGAAGAAGAGGTGAAATGTGTTACTATGGAGCTGTGTTGATGCTGCCACATTAATTAGATGGAAAATGGCCTCATGAATCCCAGCACTATCCAGTCTGTGCCCCTTCCTCTCTCTTTCCCAACCACAAAAATCGGGTACGTTCTCTCCATCACAGCCTCAGCCTCTGATACCTTCATGAGTAGGGCCCAACCAAGCTCATGGCCATGAAAAATGCCTCTCTATCGACCCCTATAAGGACTGGTGTTTTCTTTGCTTTTACCCTGTACTATACAGATTTTACAGGGGAGACCAGTGTTTCTTAAATTGGGGGTCCTGATCCAAAGGGGAGTTGCAGGGACCGAGGCGTCGCAGTATTGCCACCCGTACTTCTGCACTGGCTTCAGAGCTGGGTGGTCAGAGAGCAGTGGCCGTTGGCTGGGCGCCCAGCTGTGAAAGCAACACTCCACCAGCAGCAGCACAGAAGTAGGGGTGGTGCTGCTGGTGGGCGCTGCAGTCAAAGCCGGTCACCAGCTGCCCAGCTCTGAAGGCAGTGCCACCACTAGCGGCAGCACAGAAGTAATGGTGGCAGTATCACAACCTTCCCACCCCACAATAACTTTATAACTCCTCCTCCTCCCCTCATTTATTTTGGGGGCAGGGCACCTACGACTACACTCCTGTGACAATTCAAATTGAAATAGTTGAAATCACGACATTTATCATTTTAAAAATCCTATGATAGTGAAAGGGACCAAAATGAGCTGAGCATTTACTAGGGTTCGGCTCATGAGTGACAGCTGCAAACCTACAGCACTTGGGTACTAGTTGTTGATCCACTGGACTGACTAAAAAACAGCTAGAAAAACAGTGAATTTGTGCAGGAATGGGGTCCATACATGAAGACACTGTGCCTCCCAGATTCATTCTTTTGTTGTTGTAGAGGTTGAACCTCTCTGATCTGGGACTCTCTGGTCCGGCAACATCCATGGTCCGGCAGTACCATGATGTTGTACCACTGTCCGGCAGTGGCTGTTGACTGGAAGTCCAGCAAGGGGCTGGCAGCCTGGTCAGCCTGGCAGTTGCCATTGACCCGGAGTGGAGCCAAGCCAGCCCTGTAGCCTCTGAGCTGAGATCACAGCCCAGCTGGCAGCTGTTGGGAGTCAGGAGCAGGGCGACAGCCAGGTGGGAGAGCCAGGTCCTCCCCTTGTCTGGGACCTGTCAGGTCCCAAGAGTGCCCAACCAGGGAGGTCCAAATTGTGTTTCCAGTGATAGCCAATTGTAACTGAAAAGATTAATCTCTCAACCAGTTTGATTGGCCAGACCTCTCTATGGGTATGGGCATGAGCTGCCAAATTTGAATCCACACCCAGCCTGCAAATTGTAGGGGTTTTCCGATGTCGGCTTTTAGCTTGGGCTGCTCTCTAATAATCACCAAGTGAAAATCCCTTCTTCTCTCACAAATGCCATCAGTCCACGCACCGGCTTGGGCTTTGCAGCCCCAGGCCTTACCAGCAGGGGTCATAACTGCTCAGGGCAGTGCTTCTAGAAAAAGGTTACTGAACAAACAGCACTGCACTGATAAATAATCACCCCAGCTCGCAAGCTCTTGTAATCGAACGTCAGGACTTCTCAGTGAAACTCCTGATTTTCTCTTTCCGAATGGAGCAGCGTGGTAGTGGGACAGAGGGCTCTCCTGGTAAGCGAGGGTGAGGCTAGCATATCGACTGTTGTACAAAGAACCAGATGATTGATTGATTGCAAGGTGGAATCCTAGGTCACTGAGGCTATGGCTATGCTGCCCCATAGCTTGAAATAAGATACACAATCTGAGCCATGCAAATTGCATATCTTATTTCAATTTTATTTCAAAATTCCTTATTTGGTAATTTGGCGCTGTCTACAGTGCCAAATTTTTAAATAACCTACTACTCCGAAACATCTCTTACTCCTCGTGAAATGAGGTTTACAGGGACATCGGAATAGCGATCCAGAAATAACAGGCTTGCTTGTGAAGATGTGGAAAAGCTATTTCGGGATACTCCGGTATCCTGAAATAGCATTGCAGTGCGGACGTAGCCTGAGAGTCCTGGGGGAAGAAAGAGAAATAAATTGGCAGGACTTGTCTGTGTATCATGGATGAATCTCTGGTTCCTCAGTAGCATCTTTGGAGCCAGCTGTGGAGCATGAGTTGATGGGGATGCAAAGAGCATCCCTTTGCAAATGAAAGAGCTAACAAAACCAGGATGTAGCCAGGTGTGCTGACCACAAATTTTGGCATGATAATGATGTGGGTATTTCCTGTCCTTTTGTTGTCTCTCCAACAGGGTGGAGTTGTCGGTATCACCATAGACTGGAATTGTGACCTTGATTGGCCTGTGACATACTGTAAACCTCTTTATGAGTTTCACGGACTTTATAATGATGACAATAATGTTTCACCAGGCTTCAACTTCAGGTAAGATAGCCCTATTATCTTCTGTTCAAGCTTCACATGTAGTGTCATTCCTCCTGCAAGATCTCAAAGCACATTTACAGATGCAATGAAAGCCCAGATTGTTCTCCTGGCAGCTACCAAAATAAATGTCACCCTTGTGTGAGCAAAGTGCAGCCCTTCGCTTTAGAACAGGAGGTAAAAAGTAATTTGCAATGCCCCCATTTCTCTTTAATCAGCTGCCCAGCCCCTCTTCCTCCTCTCACACACCCAGGCACTCACTCCCGACTCCTAGCTCTGAGCTAGGGATGTAAAATTTTGTGTAGAACAGCTCCAAGGCTGTTGCTACGCTTCAAAGGTGAAAGCGCTGGGGAGCACAGAGCTAGCGGGGGAGTTCTCAGCTGACCCTAGGCTCCATGCAGTGCTGCCGCTATGAAACGCTGTGTGCAGCCCGGGCCAGCTGGGAAATCCCAGCTGGCCCCAGGCTGCATGGCATTTCAAAGCGGCAGTACTACGTGAAGCCCGGGGTCTGGCCGCAGGCTCCACATGGCACTGCTGCTTTGAAGCACCCTCTTCACTCCCCCCCTTGCTGCCTCTTTCTGATAGAGGCATCAAGGAGGGGGGAAGCAACTAGTCGACTAGTGTGTCCACTATCCGATAAGCATTTGCTTATTGGATAGTCGTTCCCATCCCTACACTCAGCCCCTGCAGAATCTTCCCAGAGTCACCCAGGTAGTAAGATGAAGGTCTAAAACAAGCCAATGCCGCACAGGCCTGGTCTGAGGCCTGAGGCCTAGCTAACAATGGACAAAACCTGGCAAACATAAAGCAAAGCTAAGCTAGGAGCAAGAGGCAGGCCCCAGCTCACAGAACTTGGCAGAAACAGGGCTGAGAGTGCAAAACACTAATTGGTAACAGGCCCAGGTACAGAACAATAATTGGTATGGGTCATAAGTGGAAAGCACATGGTATCACTAGCTCATTTAAAAAAGATAGAGACCCAAGTTCAGGAAAGGGCCTAAAATGACAGCATGATGGATAGAGATGATCTAATCAAACCACAAGATACAGGGTGATGGGTGGTATCGGACTATCATCAGAGGCTGGTAACCTGACAATGTCAGTACTGAGGTGTGATTTGTTTGTATCTCTATATAAGGTGGTGTCTTGGGGGGACAGTCTTTGTATGACCAAGGGGGCACTGGAAATTTCCCACTGACTGAGTCATTTCATTGTGGCAAGTACATGTGCGTAGTGGTTCAGTAAAGTCTACTGACAACTATGACTGTACTTCGCTTTACAATAAACCTGGCCTGACATCTTTGATCCTGGTTTGTGGTCTGTGGGGGCCCTCTCGGGGTCTGCTATGGTCATTGGGCCCACATCATTGAGCACACACGCAAGCAGCCTTCTGGTTACCATCATCGACGGAGCCAGGACACCATGGCAGTAAATCCGCCAAACTACAACCCATAGGCCCCAAATTATACTAATTATGTTTTAATCACCACACTGTGTCTCGATGTGTCTGCTTTGTTGAAATGGGTTAGCGGATACCGTTGTTGTCACTCCAGCAATGGAGAGCTCCAGCTAACATGGCACTTAATGATAGCACCAAGCTTTCCCATAGGACTTTCCATTCTCAGCGCTCATGAGACAGGAGGTTACTATCATAACTGCACCTCTGTTGTGACAGGTGAGGCAGCTGGACCAAATTTGAGTGACATAGTGCATGGGGTCAGTAATTTGGCCTGGCTGCCTTTTGGCAGCCAGGCCAAACCCGAATGGCATTGACGCCCTCTGGTTCTAAAGTCCAGAGAAGGGAGCAGGGCCAACTCCATGGGACAAGAGCCACTCCTGCAGGGTGAGCGCAGGGCCGCAGGTTTGTTCTCCAGCCTTCCCTCCCGTCAGAGTTGGTGATGCCATGCTGGCAGGTGCTGCTGAGAGTGGGCAGTGCTCCCTACTGGGGTGAGGAGGAGCAGAGATATGCTAGTCTATGATTTAGGGCTCCCCACCTCACAGACTTGGATGCTGGAAGGGCTGCAAAAAACAAAAACGAAACACCACCATAAAGTTGGTAGGTTGACTTTTCAATAGGTTCCACCTGTAGTAAGATCACAAGTATATTCACACCACTTATTGTCAAAAACAAGTGATTTGTGAGTTAGGCCAAACTTTCCTAAAACTTTCCTAAAACTCCATTAATCTGAAGAAGTGGGTTGTGCCCACAAAAGCTCATGAGACCAACTACATGGTTCATTAGTCTCTAAGGTGCTGCAAGAGAATGTGGTGTTCTTTACGTTTTTCTTAAAGCCAGCCAGATAGCCTCTAAACTGCTACTACAGTGATCCCACCCTATATCCATTCACCCATTAGTGATATTGGATTCTTAGTCAAATGCCTCATCATGAATTGCCTAGCTATAGATATTGAAATACCCACCCGTTTTTTGCATGTATTTGTTATTCATTTAGTTATATTTACATAATAGTAACAAATGAGAGCTCTGTACATCATACCACTTACTTATTCTTCTTGAAATAACATAATACACCCAGTAGCATTAAACAGCAAATGGTCAAACAGGAACAAATGAACTCATCTCAGGCAGCTATGACATTTTCAGTTGAACTCAGTTCATTGATTGACTTAGATTTGGTAGCAATCCGCTTCAGGGAAAAAATAATAGCTACTAATAAGCTATTATCTAGCACTTTGCCTCAGCTCTTATCCTCAAAGCACTTTATAAAGGATGTTACTGTTAGTAGGTCCATTTTCCAGATGAGGAAAACTGAGGCACAAAGCAAGGACATGACTTGCCCTAGGTCACCCAGCAGGCCAAGAGTTTCTCAAGTCCCTGTCTCTTCCTCTGTTCACTTGGTCCCAAAAGTTCTAGTTTCTCAAAGTGGTATATATTAGTTTGGTTTATTTTTTGTTTTCTAAAGACCATGACAGGCTATTTAACATATTATCTATCTGACTGGAAAGGTATGCCAAATACTACAGAGATAATGGAACAGACTACAGGACTTTGTACAAGGTGTTTGGAATCCGGTTTGACATTCTGGTGAATGGAAAGGTAACATCCAGTGTGAATTCATTTTAATTCAGACTTCTCATCAGCAGGGGCGGATATAGGGCAGGGTGAACGGGGCGGCTGCCCCGGGCCCCGTGCGTGCACTGTGGCGCCACTGCGCATGCGCATGGTGTCACGGCACATGCGCCGTGGCAAAGGGGGGGCCCCGTGGAGTTATGCTGCCCGGGGCCCCGCAAAACAGTCATCTGCCCCTGCTCATCAGCCTAACTTTTAAACTCATTGCCAGTTTATATGTTGTTAGATAATCTCCACCCCTATCTGAACCTCATGCCTTAGCCTCAGAAAGAAGGATGAATAAGAGTCAGGATGGTGTGTGGGCCATTTCCATGTATTACTGCAGTTTGTTTACTGAAATAAGAGGTTGAAGTGTCTCAGCAAACTTGGTATGGGTGCTGGATGCGATTTCTGCTGGACGTGCCCCTCGTCATTAGCAGCTGGTTTCTTTGGGTCATGAGTAGGTGAGGAGCATTGTGGGAGAAGCAGAAGAAAAGTGTTCATTGGACCTGCCCATGTGCTACTTCTGATCTTTGTCTGAATAGAGAGCTCCAGTTGTATGGACAGACATCCCCATGTATTCCATTCAGAAAATAAAATAAAGTAATAGCTTGATATTGAAAACGCTCAGTCACCCCTCCTCCTTCCCTAGTAGGGTATCCACAGCGCCTGCCCTATCTTTGAGAAGGAGTGAACTCTTCTAGTGGTAGCCGCAGCAAGGTTCCCTAGCAGGGTCATCCCTAGCCCTGCTTTTGACACTGTTTCCTTCCCCCTGCCAGATTCTCCTGCTTTATTATGAGAGCCTGCCTATTTTCTCCTATTTTTTTCAGGCAGGTAAATTTGACATCATCCCTACGATGACCACAATAGGCTCCGGAATTGGTATATTTGGCGTGGTGAGTATTGATATGTCCAGACTGCCTGGGAACGTGCCCATTATTCTGTTTGCGTGTGGCACTGAACTGAAAGTGACCCTCAAGTATAGCAAAAGACTAGCTCCATGAAAGCATCCACCTGGCCTTTTTAGCATGGAAAATGCAAAACGAAAAGAGAAGATGTTTCCTTGCAATAGAGTTAATCTATCTCCAGATTGGAGATATGACCAAACAAAAGTAAAATGGGGAGTGATGCTAGATGGCTGGCATATTAGATTGGTTTGCTATCTTGCTGGACTCAGTCAAGCTAAAGAAAGTTAGACCTAGTCAATATTTTTGTGGGAGACCTCCAAAGAAAATGCTGGAGCAAATATCTGGCTGATAGGTAGAGATAGTCCTTCTGCTTTCGTATTCAACAAGTTACAGTGGGGGAGGTCTAGGTTGGATATTAGGAAAAACTATTTCACTAGGAGGGTGGTGAAGCACTGGAATGGGTTACCTAGGGAGGTGGTGGAATCTCCATCCCTAGAGGTTTTTAAGTCTCAGCTTGACAAAGCCTTGGCTGGGTTGATTTAGTTGGGATTGGTCCTGCTTTGGGCAGGGGGCTGGACTTGAGGACCTCCTGAGGTCTCTTCCAGCTCTATGATTCTATGAACCAATACCCCAGCATGGTTTGCAGAGGTGAGCTCCTGTCTTTGAGGGGAGATGCCCCATGGCTTGTGGCCATGAAAGACAGCATGGCACTTTTTGCAACAGTAAGGGTGTTAAACTGGAATGTGGGTAACACACATGGCTACGTCTACACTGGTGCGATCTTGCTTAAAAACTCTTTAGCGCAAGAGTTCTTGCATTAAAGTAGTAGTGCAAGAGGGCGTCTACACTGGCATTTGCTTTTGCGCAAGAGCATCCTTGCCAGTGTAGATGCTCTCTTGTGCAAGAAAGCTCTGATGGCCATTTTAACCATCAGGCTTTCTTGCGCAAGAAATTCATATTGCCTGTCTACACTGGCCTCTTGCGCAAGAATAGTTGTGCAAAAGGGCTTATTCCTGAGTGGGAGCGTCAGAGTTCTGGTGCAAGAAACCCTGATTTCATACATTAGAATGTCAGTTTACTTGTGCAAGAACACGCGGCCAGTGTAGACAGGCAGCAAGTTTTTGCACAAGAGCAGCTGTTTTTGCGAAAGATCGTGTCAGTGTACACACAGCCACAGAGTTTAAGTTAATTACATTCTGCCTGCTTTCGTGCCCACACTTGAATTTTGCATGTATCACTTCTATCCTAAACTAAGGTATAGCATGTCTGTGCACTATTAAACCATTGTCATGTTCCACATCCAAAGTGGATGAAGTGACTGCAGTTTACAAGGTGCTTTGGGACACTGTGGGATGAAGGGTGTGTTATAAAATCAAGAGATTGGTGCAGATTCTTGGTTTAGATGATTTAATACTTTAGGTGCTGCTCTAACCAAGGTTTGATCTCTGTGTGGCACTTTGTCTGATTTAAGGCATCGGTGGTGTGTGACCTGGTCCTGCTGCACTTTCTCCCAAAACGGGATTATTACAAACAGAGGAAATTCAAATACGCAGAAATGAAGCCTTCCGGGCCTGTAAGTAACAATCCATTCCTCCTTGAGCTGAGGCTGCAGAGAGCAGGAGGCGTTTGTATATATGTATGCATGTTTGGAGGTATGTCTACACTAGCCCCCTAGTTCGAACTAGGGAGGCTAATGTAGGCATTTGAAGTTGCAAATGAAGCCCGGGATTTAAATATCCCAGGCTTTATTTGCATCTTCCCGTCCGGTCACCATTTTGAAATGCCATGAGTCCAGACTAACTGCCCGCGGCTACACTCGGCAGGGACCCGGTAATTTGAATTAAAGCTCCTAATTCGAACTACCATTAAACCTGCTTGCAGGAGGAATAATGGTAGTTCAAATTAGGAACTTTAATTTGAACTACTGGGTCCCTGCCACGTGTAGCTGTGGGCAGTTAGTCCGGACTCATGGCATTTAAATATGGAGACCAAATGGGAAGATGCAAATAAAGCCTGGGATATTTACATCCCGGGCTTCATTTACAACTTTGAATGCCTACATTAGCCTCCCTAGTTCGAACTAAGGGGCTAGTGTAGACATACCCTGGGAGAATAGCTAGACACTTCCTTGTCTGGCTCTAGTGAGTATCAAATCCACGCAACTGAACAGAGACTAGAACCCATGACCTTCAGCTCTGAAGTTACAAGGCCCTTCTATGAGAAGAATGTCTAGTCATGGTTTGCTTAGTCAGTCAGTGGTCTACTCACTAAAGAGTGACACAGTCACATGCCTGTAGGGTAAGGTTTCCAAAAGCAGTCTGTGCCTGAGGTGATTTTGCTAGCACTGGAGTCTATGGCAAGACTCCCATTGGCTTCAGTGGGAGCAGAGGTAGGCCAGCACTGACTGCTTGTCAAAACCCCACCATATCACCTTAGAATAACATCAGAGCATTGCAACACTGCAAATCCAGGTTGTTTTCACAGCAGCCTAATGGATCTGGACTGTGAATTTCCATTCAAATGAGCAGCTATTCCTCAAATTAATTGTAATGGGCATTGAGCACCTGGATAGCTTTGGTGGGTTTGAAAATCTCAGTCCTTATGTCTAATGATTCACTCTCAGCCCTGGTCTACACTAGAGAGTTATTTCAAAATAACCCCCCTTATTTCAAAATAATAAGCAGAGTGTCCACATTACCAAGCCTGTTACTCCTGCTTTCCTCGGGGAATAATGCTGATTTTGAAATTGTTAGTTAGAAATAGTGTTAGTGTGGACACTCCACAGCTGCTATTTCGAAATAACTACTCCCTAGTGCTTCCTAGGGCTCTAAGTCGAGGTAGCACCTCCACGGTAATGGAGCCTGCCTCGGACTAATTTCCAGGCTTTCTTGTAGTGTGAACACGCTATTTCGATTTCATTATTTCAGGAGTCATTAAATCGATTTTAGTTATTTTGAAATAGTTTCCTAGCGTAGACATGCCCTCACAGTCCTGAGGTTGAGTTGGAGTTAAATCCTTTGCTCTATCTACAGTGCATCCTACAGGACAGGAGGTGACTTGCAAGGGGAGGATATTTTAAAGGAATAGCCATTGAGATCTGGGTTATTCATGAGTCACAGGGCATACACTCACTGATCTTTCTAGGCTACTTTTTAGCACAAACTTGTTCTGATTTCCAAAGAGTCAGGAATCCTTGATATACAGCTGCACTAAGCATGGCATGAAATATATTGAGACCCAATGGATCGTGGTTACTGTTGCACAACACAGAATAGTATTTTTTCACTGATGCCATTGTGGGGTCCTCCCAGAAGTAATAATTGTTTCATCTGGTTTGGACTGGATGATATCACAGGAAAAAGAAGATGCTGCCCCTTCCTCCACGTACAATCTGCAGAACAACATGACGGACTCTCAGTGAAATGTAAGTGGCCTCTCCCCATCTAAGTTAGTCACTGCTGAAAGTTGATGAACTAACACCATTTGACCCAGTGGTGAATTTGACCCTCCCTGTTTCAAGGGAGGCTTGAGAAAGATGTTAAGAAAAGAGAGAGCTGGGGAGAGCAAGAAGAGAGAGACTGAATGAGGTTGTAGATGAGGTATAAGGTCGGGGGAGGCGGGAAGGGAGGCTGGTGAGCCATAAGCTGTAACATCAAAACAGGAGTTAATGTTTCATTGTGTGGACTGGGTGAAAGCTGTCTGGTGGAGATAACAGCTGAGGTGAAACGGCATGGGTTTGAGTGTGTCTTTGGCAAAGTCAGCTGAAGTACAGCTTAGCTCTGAGCTGTGCCTGCTGGCGAGATGTAGGACAGAAAGCACCGTTCTGGAGAAGATGGTGAACCAGTTTCTATCTTGGCAGGGCCTGCACTGAAAGAAGAACCTGCATCCTCTTCATCTTCTGATATGTTTTCACTGCCCCTGGTTCATCAAGCTGTCAACAACCAAAGGCCAACTGAACTCACCATTTTGTACCTTAGACTGAGTCTTCCTAGGATGATACATCGGGTCTGTTTTTCAGCTGGCTCTGTGTCAGGATAGGAGCACGTACCTTCATGAGCCCACGCAAAAAGGGAGTGGAAGGCTGGTGCAGATGGTGCTGATTTACTCACTGCTATAGACACTGACTAGTTTTAACGAAACGATTCTGACATAGGGGATCCTCCCGGTCTTCACTCTAAGAAAAGAGATGTATGGAGCCCCATTCAGTTAAAGCACAGAGGGACTTTTTCATTGCTTTGTTTTTGTTTTTTAAAGGCCTTCTCAAATGCTCCCTTCTTTGGGCCACATCACATAGACAGAGGGAGAGAGGTTAGGCCAAAACGAATGTTGAGTCTAAAACAACCGTGGGGAGACCCAAACAGTACTGATTACATCGCACTCTTGACCCCGGTGGGGGGCTGGCGTGGCCCGAGAAGGCCACAAGCTTTTAAGGTACAAGCTTTTTTCCTCAGAACCCACTTGAAGAAAATTGTGGATTCCTGCGACCCAACATAATTTGGCTGGAGTGTGGGCTCCAGAGTGGGACTGAGGAAGAGAGTTTGGGGATGGAGGTGGAGACTCAGGTTTTGGAGGGAGGGGTGTCAGGGCTGGGGCAGGAGGGGTTTACCTTGAGCGGTTCCCAGACAGTGGGGGTGCTAAGGTAGCATCCTGCCTCTCTTGGCCCTGTAGACCATGCTGCACCCCAGAAGAAGCCAGCGGCAAGTTCCTAGCTCATGGGAGTGCAGAGCTAGTGCTCAGGGCGGGGGCAGTACACAGAGCCCTGTGCGCTCTTCTCCCACCCCTAGAGCTGGGCCTGTTGCTGGAAGCTTTTGGAGCACAGCATGGTCTGCGGTGCCAGGACAGGCAGGTCGCTGCCTTATCCTCCCCACTGCTCACCTGATCTCCCTGCAGCAACGAGCTTCGGGACCTGACATTCCACTACTCAGTACTTGGGCGCGACCCGTCGTTTGAAACCCACTGCAATAAGGCACCCACCCATTGAGTCTAATGAGATCACAGCAGACAGGTCTAGTTGCGACTAGACCTTCTGTGGTTTATTAAATGCACAGAGGCTGTTTAGAGCTATGCCTTGGATTAGCCTAAGCTTTGCCTCCTTTGTTGGGACTTCGTTAGCCCTGGCTAAGCTACTGTCCGGTCGGAGGACCTCGTCCTGCTGAGGACTGCACTGTTCTTCTTGGTCAATTAGAGCACTTGGTAATTATCTGTGGTGGAAAAATGGTTATTTTGTAATAATGTATTTTATTAAAAAATAAACCTCTAGTTTTTCAATTATGTCACCTCTCTGGGCCAGTCCTTGTCCTTAGGGGAGTAGGGGGAGGTAGCATGCTGGCAGTGTTCTCAGAAAGGTGGTATACTCGAGTCTACAGCTCTTCTCCTCTAGCTTAAGAAAGAATGTGACCAAAAGCAACCCCCTGTGCCACAGCCAAAGCTGCATGTAGGCCAGGGCTGGCCTTACCATGAGGCAAACTGGGGCGCCTGCCTCTAGGGGGCACCACTAGGACCACCACCTCCCCTTGGGGGAGGGATAGTTCAGTGGTTTGAGCATTGGCCTGCTAAATGCAGGGTTATGAGTTCAATCCTTGAAGGGGGGGCAGGTCCATTTTGGAATCTGGGGCAAATTTGTCAGGAATGGTAGTTGGTCCTGCTGTGAGGGCAGGGGACTGGACTTGATGACCTCACAAGGTCCCTTTCAGCTCTATGAGATGGTATATCTCCTTATATTATATATATTGACCCAGAGAATTGAGACCTTTCAAAGTTTTGGCCCAAGCGAGGGGGCACGAGGGCGTCATTTGAGCTCTCCGCCTCAGGTGCCAAAATGTTGTGGGCCGGCCCTGATGAAGGCTGAGGATATGCCTACCCGTCCTTTCGACTCTGCACAATCTAGGCTGCAGCTCTCTACTCACTTTTTCTTCATGCTGTACATGCCTGGGGTCCCTCTTAAACTGTCTTCACCTGTTTAATTTTATTTATGCTTCCAGTGTGCTCTGCTGTCTCAGAGGGAAATCCTGCTTGAGTCAATGGTAAGTTTCCCTCTGATCCCATCTTTGCCCAGGGATAAGCTATTTTTGCTCCAATGACATAACAATTAATAATATTTGCAATTCTTTTCTCCAAGGAGCTTAGAACATTTCCCACAAATCACCTAGTTACACATTACAACATTTGTGTGAAGGTAGTAACAGATTTACAAAGATTACTTCATCTACCATGGAAAGGCAGCCACCTCTGGGATGGGACATGAGCTGTTTAACAGCACACAGCAACACTACACTACACAGGGAAGGGCAGAAGGGGAAGGAAAATCGTACAATATTTGTAACAGCAGGCAGAATTCAGTTAGAAGCTCACATAATTAGCATTGCAAACCATTCATTTACAAGGATCTATTCCTCCCTTGTGTAGCCAGAAAAGCAACCTCGACTTGCCCCCTATGCTATACAGATTGATCGATTTAACTAATCTTTTCTACTGCTTGTAATGACCTTGCTTTGCTCACTATAGCCCTTTAAGAGGGCAGATGACAAGAAATCTATATCCTCTATCAACTGAACTTGATTAAGGTTAAAAGGCATAGGAAGAGAGATCTGAGGTGAGCGGAGGCACTTGAAAGGGTGCGTCAACACAGCATTGTAACTCAAAATAAGATATGCAATTTGAGCTATGCACATTGCGTATCTTATTTCGATGCTATTTCAGAATAGCTTATTTCATCATTTGGCACTGCCTACACAGTGCCAAATTTCAAAATAAAACACTATTCCAAAACATCTCTTACTCCTCATGGACTGAAGTTTTCAGGGATGTCGGAATAGCGCGCCCGAAATAACAGGCTTGCTGTGTAGACGCAGGGTAGCTATTTCGGGATATTCTGGTATCCCAAAATAGCGTTGCAGTGTATACATACCCACAGGCTCTTGTGTTTTGCTGTGCAGGAATGACACTAGGCCAGCAGGACTGTACAGGGTAACAGGTTCTGACTACAGACACCTCCTCATTCCACAGTTTACAAAAATCCTGCCAGTTCTGCACTGTACTTAGTAATTTAATGCAGTATTAGATGTACCTGCTCCTAAGTGAACTATCGCTTCCTGCCTGGATACCGGGCATCATTGTCACACCATTGTGCTAATTCAGCCATGTTCTGAAATAAAAGCATTTCTGCAGCAGTCACCATGCACGTTTGTGCCAGAATCATACAAAGCTGATTAGCAGCCATATCCTGGAGCTGCTCAAGAAAAACACAAGTGCAACATGCTCTGCATGGTTGAATTTTCAAACAACAAATAACGCTGCCGCAATAACTCTAGTGTGGCAGCATTGTCCCATCTGCAGTGACAGGCTACAACCAGCAGATGGAACCAACAGACCATCTGATGTCTCCCTCAGTGGTCACTCGATAACGAGTAGGACTTCTTCCTGGCGCTCTCCTATTGGTGGATCCATTGATGGTGACCAGCCTGATTCTGGAGCCACAGGTCTTATCGCAGAAGGGGCAGGTGCTGGTGGCTATTGGAGGGACGTGGGACAGTTTTTGCCACTGTTTTCCCCTTCTCTGCCTCTGACCTTTGAATTAAAAGCCAACATAAGGAAAATGAAAACTCAGATCACAAGCACCAAAATAAATGTGTTTGCACAATCCTTTGTGGCAGTTTAAGTGAATCAGTCATTAAGGTAAAGCTGTGTTTAGATCTTGATATTTCCTGGCTTCTTGATACTTTAACTTTTGGCCTTCTCATAAGTGAGTTGGAGGCATTTGGGAAAATGCTACTTTATTAGTGTTATCAACTCTAAACATTCAAGACCAATGTTCCTGCTAATATGTTCCATCCATGGAATAATTTTATGCACGTCAAGGCATGTGCGAATGTGCACCACCAGTAGAAAAAACTCTGTGGGGTGCTCTACTAATCAGCTGGGCAGCATTTGAATCTCTCCAAAGTGGCTGTACAAGTGCTTAGCTTACAGGGAACACTTCTCTAGACTCAGGAGCCCTCAAAATCATGAGCTTGTCCTTAAAATTATGAATATTTTAAAATATATATTCATTGAGTTCTTTTCATTTGCTGTGTAGTTTATGGCTCCCATAAAACCAACTGAGTAAATTCTTTATCACTAAGGGCAGACACCCAGGGTCTCTTAAGCCTGAAGGATGCCTACAACTATAAAATATGTATTTCCCAGTCTACACAATCTCTCCTAGCTCTGATGCATTCAGGATGCATCCAGTCCTTAAGGGAAAACGCTCTTGGATTTCTCTATAACAAAGCCACTGGTCCTTTGTTACATCACACAAGTTTCAATAATCCTAACAAATACTCCAGAGGATACCTCGTGCAGAACAGGCAGGAACACCTGCTACTCTTACCTGCTTCTCAGTGATGCTTCTCATCCCTTTGGTCTCAAAGAAATTCATTCTGTGCCAATACTAGGCTATATGGAGAAAGGTACCTTCAGTAGTGTAACACTAGACACACAATATTGTGCCACAAGTCATAATCCCAGCAACAACGTGGTTGTTATATAGCTCATTTCCTTGGTTATAAACTGCAAACTGGTATTTTCTATGGAAAACGGAAATTTCCTTTTGCCTTTTTTAACTGATCACTTTATTTTAGGATGAGTGGCAGGTAGGCAGGGCCAAATCTAATCTGGCTGTAACAGCAGTGAAGTCCCTGGACCAAAGCTTCATCTAGCATAAATCAGCATCACTTCATTGATGTGACTAGAGCTATTCCAATTTACACTAGATAAGGATCCAGTTCAATTTTTTTTTAAAGGTAACAACTTTGGCTTCTTCTTAAACAAACTGCACTTTTTCACGCTGGCAGAATGTATGTCATGTCACCCTTTTGTGGCTGCCCCACAAAAAAACAACCTATTCATGCTATCTAGTGAAGTTATTTCTTTAGCTCAGCAATTTTCAAACTTTTTAGACTTGTCAAATCATATAGCCTGCTGCATTCCTCCATCTGAGATAGGGTCATTACATACCTATGAAAACAGAAAATAAAAGATCTGGAAGGAATAACATGATGTATTGTTCACCATTATAGGATTTTTCTAGCATTACCCCTTCCATCCGGAGACTTCAGTACCCAGAGGGGAACACATACTCCAGTTTGAAAACCACTGCTTTAGTCAAGCGGTAGAGGTCTGTACTGCTCTGCAAAAGATAATAGATTCAGAGTTTGCTGATGTCCATGAAGCTAAGAGTTTAAAAGGGACCAGTGATTCTGGTGCCTGACCTGAGACATGTTTCGGAAGCAGTCCTCAAGCTCTTTTAAGGCATCTCACGTTGAACACCCAAAAATAGAGACAGTCAAAATTAGCAGTCACTTTGAAAATCTTGCACTGATTTTTTTTTAAAACCAAAGAAATATGAGATCAAAAGATTCTGTTCTTCCCTTGAAGCATGTGAACAACACTTGGTTGGCATCAAAGACAATGAGCATCATACACACTACTTTGAGAGGTATCAAAAGTGGAGAGAAACTGGCCACTGTTTAGTCTTCCGTATGCTGAGATCTGTATCTTGTAACATTTCATGCTCCAAAGATGTGCTTGCATGACAGCACACTATCTCTCCAGATGAGCGCATTCTCTGGATCCTGTGGTGCCACGACACGGCAATGTCTACAAATCTGGTTGTGGATGAGAAAAGGTATTCTATGTTTCTCATTATTCTGTGTAGGAGATGTTTTGCCTGTTTATAGTTCCTGCAAGAGTTCTATTAAAGCGGGCTTCAGTGAGGGAGCTCAGCCTGACTGCACTAAATCAAAGGGTGCAGATATAACATTGCAGTATACACTGAGCCTTGTGATCTCAGTGTATCTTGTAGACTAAGCAGAGTAAAGTCGTGTCTAGACTTGAAGAGAGACAGCTAAGGAAAACTCAGGTGATGTAGGAGGCAGTGTTGAAGATTCAGCAAAGTAGCAGCTTTCTCTCTGAGTCAATGGCAGGCCAATCCTCCACATATTATTAAAGGGCACCATGAAGTCTTTTGGGTTCCTGGCAGAACCGAGGTCAATGAAAAAGACCCATTTCATTTTCTGCCAAGGGCTGGAAGCTATCTTGAGACTGTCATGGACAAAACACCCTGGCTCTAAACACCCTTGAGTTTGGGGTAAAGTTTGCTGCTATATCCAGACTTTGCATCTCAGCCCCAACTATTCTGGGAATGCTGGTGTTTGGTCCAGTTACCTGGGGAGTTGCATTTATCCGGGGCAGAATGCAGTATAAAAGTGAACAGAACAGAA